CTCATATTAATATCAATATTGGTGTCTTTTTATGCGATTTTTTTAGATTTTATTCTTTTATGCCAATTGGGCAGTCTGAATTGACAAAATTTGTCAAAATCGGTCCAGCCATTCTTGAAATATAAGCATTCTAGATAAAATCTCCTTCCTTTGTATATATACATTGTATATATTTCGCTATTTATATCCGATATGTTTAATATCGGCATCGAAGTAACGGCCAGGATTGACCTGTTCGTCTATTTGTAATTTCGCCGGGATTAAAAATATTCGCGATTTAATGGAAAATTTGACTTTTATTTAACACAAATGTTATGGTCTATTTCACCCACTAAATATTATCCCATGACCATCAAAATTGGAAGGCTTCTGCACCAAATTGGAAGGCTAGCCCCGTGCTAACTTCCGCGTCGATTGGTCTATAATTGCGACCTGTAGAGCAACTGCAAATCAGAAATTTTTTTTTTTTTTTTTTTTTTGTTTTTGGTCCATTTCAACCCCTAAATATAATGCGATCATCTCCAAAAGAAGTAGGGTTCTATTCTGACCCTAACCCCACCTACATTTCAATTTCGTGAGAATCGGGCCATAATTGCGACCTGTAGAGTGATTACAATTTAACATGGACAGACGGATGGACATAAATAGTTAGGTCGACTCAGCTCGGCGAGATAGGAAGATCCATATATACTTTCCTATGTGGGAAACCAATATTTCGAGGTGTTACATAATTTTTGGCCCAATCAAACTTATAATACCCCCAACACATAGTGTTGTAGGGTATAGGACATTCTAGAAATTTTCTAGATTTTTCTCACTTTTAAATTCTTAAAAAAATATTTATATTATGGAGAAATCCTTAAAAATTAAAAAAAAGGTTCCAGGATAATTTGAAAAAAACTTCCTAGAATTCCAACTTGAATTTTTTTTTTGAAAATTATTTTAATACTTTCGAGAGAAATACGTAAAACTTAAAAAAAAGTTTTTGGTCCAGATTACCCTCCACCATTTAGAAATATTTTAGAAATTTTCAAAAAAAAAAAAAAAATAAATAAATAAATAAATAAAAACTGTTAGTAATTCTGTTAAAATCTTAAAAATATCGAATATAGACATTTTATTGGTATCTATACGAAGACATGGACTTGCATGTTATAAGCCATTACAACATTCAAATACGAAACTTGAAAAAACGGTGAATACTTTAGCTTAGATCATCAAAATACCGAATATAGGGAGGTACCGTTATATCGATGCTATACGAATACCTGGGCCTGTATAGACAATTTTCTGTCACAAGCTGAAGTACCTATTAGGAAGTAAAAATACGAAATTGCAAACAATTTCGGAGAATATTGTACCTAAAATCGTCAAAACCTAAATAGACAATTTTCTGCATTAGACTGCAGTACCCATTAAGAATTATAAATACGAAATTTAAAACAACAACAACTATGTCTCTACTACGTCAACGGATACCGCTTTATGTTGTCTATACGATATCGTGCACCTATATAGACTTTTCCTCAAGTATGGATGTATAAAGAATTACATAGACATTTTAGTTAAACTCATCAAAATACCGAATATGAGGAGGTACCGTTATATGGGGATATACGATATCGTGGACCTATATAATCTTCCCGGTGGTAAAATACTCAGAAGAAAGGAGTATAATATTTTGGAATTGCCCTATTTACAACAATTCTGACGAATTTTCCCTTACCCTTACCCTTATTTTTCACTTTTGGTTTGCTGGGTTGCTCCTATCTCGATTGTTATTGAAAACTTATACCAAAAAAACATTCCATTATAAACAAAAACATATACGGCATTCAAAAACACTCCCATTTATGAAAATAGAAATACAATTTACGAAATATTTTCGCTTCAGGTGCCGCAAAAATATAAACAGCCATTGTTATTTTGTTATCGAACCAGCCAATCAAGTGTCTTGCGAACTAAAGCCTTATACATTATATTCAATTCACTGGAATTGTGAAACGTTTAGCAGAAATTCTATAGAATTTAATATTAAATAGTGAAAGGGAAATGGCAAAAAAGAGTATATTCTGCGAATAAAATATTACAATTATTTTCCATACATAACCATTATGTGATTTTCACCACAACATGCTGAGAATTTAAAATGCGTGTTTTAAATACAAGAACAAACAGATTTTAATATCGACATTTCATAATGCACACCTAAATAATATTAAAAAAAATCAAATGAAGAAATACAAAACTTTTTCACAGGTTACAAATATTTTTTTGGAAAATATTTTGTTTTTGTCTTGAGACATACGGAGACTATTAAGTCTCACGGCCCCATCAAGTTTTCCTATCTTATATTTATAAATCTTATCATTTTATGTTACGGCTGAACCGGTTTTCCTGAAATTTTTACAGAACATTCAGAAATTACTTTGGTACATATAGGATACACATTTTAATGAAATTCGAAAGGACGTTGTACTTTCCACATGTCTCATTTTTAGAAACGCGGTCGATCGTTTAAATTGTGGTATGGTCCTTAAACTAGATAGGGATTAAATTAGATAGGGATTACAGTTTTTAAATCAAAGAACAGTTATAAATCTACGGATACATTATTATTATTTGTTAATGATATCTGGGAAAATGGATTAACTGAAGTAGCTCACAATTTAAAATCCAGGTAGTTAGTCTATAATTTATAAACTGACTGAAAATTGCCTTTCAATACCGTCTTGGATATTCCATGTCGGGGTTATGTTGTGCATTACTCAATGGTTCACATTGACATTTCAAAACAAATTTAGATTTGAAATGGTAACCTTTGGTGCGAATTATGACCTTCAAACGACCAATGAAACTGTCACGCACTGCACGAATGTTGTTCTGATTTGGCCCATTCCCGGCGAAGCGCTTTCTTGAGGTGATCGACACTTTGGTATTTTAAGTGTAAACCTTACTTTCCAAAATACTCCAGACACAATAGTCCAACGGATTGGTATCCGGAGATTTTGGTGGCCATTGTGCGCTGAAAATGAAGCGAGGAATCTCATTATTCTATTATCTATTATATTCGGCATTTCGGCTGTTATGGCGGCCCACACCATCACCATGGCCGGCGTTTGAGTTCTGGTGGCCAACCGAGGGTGCTAATTTTCAGCTGACCTCTTTGGACAACGAATGTTTTCTCATCGGAAAAAACCAAATTCGGCAGTTCACCACTTTCGGCCAAGCGAAGCAACTTTTTAGCTCTTTTGAGTCAATTTTCTTTCTGTTGTGGTGTAAGTTCTTCCACTTTTTAGATTTTCCATGTCTTTGCCCTGAGCTCATTTTTCAATATTTGCCGAATGGAATATTGCGATATGTTCAGCTCAGGAGCCATTTTTCGGCCACTGCGACGCGGGTTTCGATGAAGTCGCTTCTTTCCTTTCGAACCATTTCTGCTGATGTTGCTGTTTTCTTCCGTCCACTTCCTTGACGTCAGGTTACGATAGCAGTATCACGGTAACGAGCGATGGTACGAGATACACAAGATTTATTCATATTTAAATGCTGGAGTGCTCTAACCATAGCCACTTGTAGTTTTTCAGCCAAATATAAAGAACTCACACTATCACGCTTGAACTCCATAACGAATAACTTTTTTTCTGGGAAATTCTCACCAAAGTGCTTTTGTACGCTTGTAAACAATATAATGAGCAGTCACTGGAATAATTTTAACAGCTGTCGGATGAGTGGCTTAAAAATGACAGCAGTCTGAAGTTGGTTGCAGTTTTTTGATTCGTAATATGCATTCGACAACAATGATATTTGCTACCAGATATCAGATACAGCCCAGAAATACCTCTGTCAGGTTTTATGGAGATCGAATACGATTTGGATATAGCTCGCACATATATCTTCAACCGATTTCGGGTTAATTGTGCACCAAATGGCCAATATAAATCCAAATGACCTGAATTTTGGCACATCCAACCGAATTCAGTCTAGAAGCAAGTACATCAAATTTGGTGAAAATCGGTTCAGATATAGCCATAGCTCCAATATATATGTTTCATCCGATTAGGTTTTTAAGTCCCTCACATTCGTAATTTGCATTCGACAACAATGATATTTGCTACCAGATATCTTATGGAGCCCATTGCCAAATTTTATCGAGATCGGCTTAGGTTTGGATATAGCTCCCATATATATCCTTAATCCGATATCTGCTTTATTGTGCAAATAATGGAGTTAATTTCGGGACGTACGTTTCCATTTTGAGCTATCTGCCTTCGATATATATTTTTTTAATATAATCCTTCTCCAAGGGATATCAAGCACTCTATAGCAAACTATAACTGTTCTAAAGCCAAATGTTATTTGGTGGTATGATCTACTTGAAATAAATTCTTTTTTTACGGTAGCTTCATTAAATATGCATTGTGGTGTAGGGTATCATATTGTCGGCCCAACCCGACTTTGAAAAGATGAAATACAAAATTATTCCCCAGTTCTTTTCAAACTTTGCTCATTGCAATGCTTGTACTAGCATTAAATCCAAGTTAAATTTCGGATATGTAGATTCAATCTTTAAGGAACGTCCTCCAAAAAGGTGTAATATGCTAAGGGATATATCTGCCGGAAAATACGCTGAAACTTCATTCCTTATTTTGTGTAGGCGTACTTCTATTTGTCAAATGTCGGTCCAATTTCAAAATAATTCATATTTTTGAAAAACCCTGTACGTTTCATACTCATTCCATATTTGGAGTATTCGCCATCAATTTTATTACCTATAATCAATTTTAATTTGATACTCTCAAATGTGTAATATTTTATAAAAGAAACTCTCATCTGATTTACTCTTCTTCATTATCCGAGACAAACATATATTATTTTGTCCCAAAAGTATTAAACATATATCCCAAAAAGTTTTTTTTTATTAACAAAGACACAAACCTACCTCAATACCGAACTGTATTACAGTTTATAATATACTACTTTGTTTTCTTTCTTTTCAGCCTATTCCACAGCCGCATTGCTAGCCATTGTCTTTGCTATTCCCTTTGGCATACGAATGTTGGTGCACAAGGACAGAGGGCAATGGGAAGAATTTGGGCCGGCCTTTTATACAGCTCATTTGGAATTGTTCCTAGGCAATGGGTGTTTGGGTAATGTTACAGAAATTTTTATAACAATTTTGATATTAACAAAGTCAATCCAAGACAACAACTAACCATAGCAATGAAACTGTGCTTAGCTTAGACATAATCCCATAAGGCATTTGTACTTAATAACAAATAGAGGGAAATGGGAAGAGTATACCATCAAACTCTTCCCAAAATTGAAATAAAAAATAAAAGAATTGAATTCTGTAAATGAAAAAAATTAAAGCAATCGAAAACAATGCCCCCATTTGCTTGTTGGTTGTTGACTTGGAAAATAATTTTATTATTTTCATTCCATTGCAGGTGTGGGAGTTATGATGCTCTTGGTTTTGACAATAGAACGTTACGTTTCAGTGTGCCATCCCAGTTTTACAAGACCAGTAATGGGACCTCCCGGGTAAATATCAAACAAATTTGATACCATCAATCTCAAAATCTAACCTAATTTCCCCCCTTAGAGTTATAGTATTCCTAACCACTCTGATTACCTTTATCATATATCTTCCGAGTGTTTTCCGTGGGGAACTTATCAAGTGTGTGCTGCAGACCGATGGTCGTTATGTATACTTTCGAAGAGATAATAATGCCTTTATGACAACAATTTTTTATAATGTAAGAATTTGCATTCTGGATGGATATTTATCATAATAAGTTTCATTGTTTCTTAGGTCTACAAGGTAATGTTGGAAGTGATATTTAAGCTAATACCCACTGTCCTCATCGCCGGCCTAAATTTACGCATTATGATGGTTTATCGTCAGACTTGTGAGAAACGACGTAAGATGACGTCGTCACGTGCCTCATACATAAAAGATGCTGAAGAGAAACGTTTGTTTTTATTGCTGGGTGAGTTAGTAGATGTGGTGAGAGGCGGGAATTTAGTTACACATCTGCTATTTTTTTTAATATTTCAGGAAGCACGTCTATTTTGTTTTTGGTTTGTGTATCACCCATGGCCATTTTACATATGACAATTGCATCAGATGTTCTGCCGAGTTTTTCATTTCAGGTAAGTCGTAATCGTACGGGAAATTTCGAGGTTATATTTTACCTTTATAAAAAGGAGGAATTTCCAGGAAAATACTGGAAAATAAAAGTGCATGTGGATGATATATTTTTATATATTTCAACCATATGGCTACAGAGAATATTTATCATATGATACGGCCAAAACGTGCCTAATCGAAATAATCGTAACGTATTTTTGGACTAAATCCGTTTCAAGACATTTAGATTAGATCCATCCGTATGTCTCTCTGCCTGGTTGGTGCGCACGATAACTTTTGAAGAGAGTATCTGATTTCGACCAAACTTAGTGCATCACAATATTATTATCAAACTTAGATTGAATTCGCAGATGGGTAATATCTATCCACACCTTCTTCAAGAAAGGTCAACATTATATAGAACATTAGAAAACCATCCAACTTTGTGAAAACCTTGAAAATTCTAATATTTTTTTTTTTTATTTTTTATCAGTCCACTCTATCTTCCATACGAAGGGTCATATTTTTCTAATAATTATAACTCCTATAAAATATTAAATAAGAGCCCAATTGTCCTCAAATTTCTACTAACACAAGATCTGATAAGAAGACCACTCCCTCTGGTACCTACCCACAACAAGTCAAAATTTGGAATAACCATGAAGCTCATACAATAATCATCCCATCACTTTCAAGCACGGCAAATCCCAATATTTCTACGACAACAATATTTGGTGAGAAAATGGGATATATGTAGTCCTTCTCTTTCTGGTACGTCTTAAAAAAAGAGTCACAATTTTCAATATTTATATCTCTCATAACTTGCGTTACAAGTCGGAGATTCTTTTCAAACTTGACATATCTAAATATTTCTCTAAGGCAGAGGTCTGATGTGAAATTGGAATATATCGGCATTCTCCTTCTCGTACCTCCCCCACAAAGGGTTAATATTTTGATTAACAATTATTAGCATAAAATTTGAAATAAATGTTCGATTTTTTAAATTTGCACATCCCAATAATGCAGTATGGATATGGAATAATTCGACACAACATTTCTGAGACATCACGTACATTTCAATATTTTCCAAAAAATATCGTATACAGGGTGTGATAAAAATAAACTGCAAAAAAGTCAAAATAATAATTTTTACATTTTTCTTTTAAATTTTATTGAATGAAAGCAAAAAATGTCGAAAACAAAATCAAATTTTAGAATAAGTTTAGATTTGTTCGAATTGGTCACCTTTGGCACGAATTAGGGTGCGATGGTGCTGAGTCCTCCTGGAATGTCCAAGGTCTGCGGCGAAAATATTTGCGTACCCAAGGCTGTAGTAAACAAAGAATATTTTCGCGATAACATTCGGCATTTATTCTGATGCCACGATCGATTAATACGAGCGGAAAACGACCATCTGCTGTTATGGCGGCCCACATCATCAGCATGGCCGGCGCTTGAGTTCTGGTGACCAACCGAAGGTGCACATTTTCAGCTGACCTCTTTGGCAAGTAAACACGATCATTTTGTTGTTTCACATTCGGCCAAGCGAAGCAACTCTTTAGCTCTTTTGAGTCTATTTTCTTTCTGCTGCGGTGTAAGTTCTTGCACTTTTTGGAATTTCAGTGGCTTTACGCCGAACTCATTTTTCAATATTTGCCGAATGGAATATTGCGATATGTTAAGCTCACGAGCCATTTGTCGGCTACTACGACACGGGTTTCGGTGAAGTCGCCTCTTTACTTTTCGAACCATTTCTGCTGATGTTACTGTTTTCTTCCCTTCCGTCCACTTCCTTAACGTCGGACTACGCTACCAGTATCACATTTATTATTCACATTTAAATGCTGGACGGCCCTAACGATAGCCACATGTGGCTTTCAAGCCTAATATAAAGAAATCACAATATCACGCTGAGGGTATACATCGGTTGGCAAAACCGATTGATACTTTCCTACTTCTTTTCATTTGAGATTGTTCTATTCTTCCATGCATTTTTATATCCTATAAGGGGAAAATGTCATTTCTTACCTATATTAAATAACTCTCTTTCGGGATGAGTTATTGAAGACATCATCAGAAATGTTCAATGCCATTTCAGTGGCTAGGCAAGTCCCAATTTTGGAAAACTCCATTTTTCCGTTCATCATTGGAAATAATGTGAAAGAAGTCGAATTATTGTTCGACTATGTGAACCTATGCCAATGTTTGACTTTTCCTAACCCAGATTTGTCTTTGTACAAAAAGATGCTAAATTTTTATTGCAACGAATCTTTACATTTTCATTTCGAGGATTTACTTACCCTTACTACTTACACTTGCTTATTTTCTACGTCCCTATTGAATATGAATGTTTATTACCAACTACTAACACACATGTACATACGATTTGTATGCTGCGCCATGACTGTAACACGTTTTCATTTCCGTTGTCCTAACATGTTTTTTTTTTTCTCTACTTACCGGAATGACGGAAAATAACAAAACTCAGCTTTTTCTATTTCCAATCGTTTTCAATTAAAACAAAAACCATTTTACCATACCTCCATAGAGTTGTTCTATTTATAGATGCATGTGTTTTATTTCTTTACTTCTTTATGTACCCTTAACAGGTGTTCCGAGCATTGGCCAATCTAATGGAGTTAACCAATTATTCGATCACATTCTATATATATTGTCTATTCAGTGAGGACTTTCGCAATACATTGATAAGGACCATAAAATGGCCGTGGATAAGAACACAACTGTGTCATCAAGTCGATGAGGTGGGTAGAGAGAGAGGGAGAGTCCTGTGGCAAAAGTATCTTAGATGCCTAACATTTGTTATTGTTTTTGTTTTGTGTAATTGAAACAGGTATCTGCCAAGCAAACGCCTCTAAATAACTTCGATAAATTAACTTTGCGAAATCATCACATAACCACAACATCGGGAGTGTGTACGGGAATCGGTCGTTCCAGTAGCATTTGATGCAAAGTTCCCATTATACTATGATAGCTTGTAAGATTTAATTAATTTAATTTGTTTTTTCTTTCTTAATGGTAAGTTCCAAAAATGTAATGCAAAAAATACTTTAAATTACTGAAGAAAATGTGTACACTTTAAGGGTTGGTAAGAGTTTAGTGCGTGGACAAATAGCTTGGGTATCGAATTTTGTATAGTATTGAAAATTGATAGGAGACAGGATTTTTAAGCAATCAATTGCTCCTATTTATGGCTACTTTGTAATTTCCGTGAGTTTCAAGAAATTTGACAAGTTCTAATTTTTTTTCACTTCCAAAAATAATTTCACCTCCAAAAATGTAATGAGCCTTTGCATTATCAAGAAGTTGTAAAATAATGCATTATGCCTTTAAAAGTTACAAGGCAAAGTTGCTGTTTTTACCCATTATCAAGAAGTAAGTAGTCGAGACACATTGTGTTCAGGTCTACAAACCCAACTTGGAGAAAAAACAAGTCAAAAAGCAGCTAAGTCCGGCCTGGCCGAAATTTTAAAACCCTCAACTATTTTGAAAAATCTTGGAAAATTAAAAAAAAACGAGGAAAATACCACTTAAATGAAAATAGTTATATGGGGGCTATACGAAGACGTGGACCTACAGGGTGAGATAAAAAACTGCAACAAAACCAAACACCATAATTTTTACATGTTTTTTTTAAATTTTATTGAATGGAAGCAAAAAATGTCGGAAATAGCATCAATTTTTAGAATAAGTTTACATTTGTCGACTTGGTCATCTGTGGCACGAATTATGGTATTCAAACGGCCAAAACGGTCACACGCTGCCCGAATGTGGTATTTTGGCCCATTCCCGGCGAAGCACTTGCTTGAGGTGATGAACCCTTTGGTATTTTTGAGTGCCAAACTTGCTTTCCAAAATACTCCAGACACCAAAGTCCAACGGATTGGTACCCGGAGATTTTGGTGGTCATTATGCTCTGGAAATGAAGCGAGAATCCTCATTTTGTAACCATTCTTGGGTGGCGTGCTGAGTGCGATGGTGCTGAATTATGTTGGAATATCCAAGGTCTGCGGCCAAAATGTTTGCTTGCCCAAGGCTTTAATACATTCTCCAGAATATTTTCGCGATAATATTCGGCATTTATTCTGATGCCACGGTCGGTTAATATGGGCGAAGAACCACCATTGGCTGTTAAGGCGGCCCACATAATAACCATTGCCGGCGCTTGACTTTTGGTGGCCAACCGAAGTTGCACATTTTCAGCTGACCTCTTTGGCAAGTAAACACGGTCATTTTGCTTGCTTACAAACTGCTGGACAACGAATGTTTTCTCATCGAGAAAACCAAATCCGGAAGTTTACCACTTTCGGCCAAGTGAAGCAACTCTTTAGCTCTTTTGAGTTTATTTTCTTTCTTTTGGGGTATATGTTCTTGCACGTTTTGGAATTTCAATGGCTTCACCCCGAGCTCATTTTTCAATAGGTGCTGAATGGAATATACCGATGTGTTCAGCTCACGAGCCATTTTTCGGCCACTGCGACGCGGATTAGTGATCAAGTCGCTACTTTACTTTTCGAACCATTTCTGTTGATGTTGCTGTTTTCTTCCGTCCAGTTCCTTGTCGTCGAGTTACGCTACCCGTTTCACGGTAACGAGCGATGGTACGAGACCCAAAAGATTTATTCACATTTAAATATTGGAGTGCTCTGACGATAGCCACTTGTGGTTTTCCAGTCAAATGTAGGGAAATCATACTATCACGCTTGAATTGCATCACGAATAACTTTTTTGCTGAAAAAATCTCATCAAAATGCTTTTGTACGCTTGTATACAATATAATGAGCTGTCACTGGAATAATTTTAATAGTTGACGGACGAATGGCTTAGAAATGACAGCAGTCTTAAGTTGGTGGCAGTTTTTTCACCTCATCCTGTACATAGACGCGGACTAAATTACTCAGAAGGAGCGCCTTGAAAAATGTGGCTACAAGCATAAAAATACCGAACAAATTACCTCTCATATTACATTCAGTTTTTAAAATACCGAGTACCTTCTCAAAAATTCAAAAAAGAAAATGTCTTATTTCATAACCAAGTAACTACTTACCATGCTACAGAGTGTGTATATCCGGCTACAAAATTCTTGCGTGTTCATAACACCAGTGATATTATGGCCGAAAATTGACTAGGAAACCCATTATTTGTTATGGGGGATTTTCAGAATTAAATTATTTGAATTACCTCGATCTCACGAAAATTTGTCCAACATAAAAAGATTACTAACCCCACTATACATACACCCCTAAAAAACAAAACTTACAAACATACATATGTAAAAAAGTATAAAATGAAAAAAACAAACTAAATTCTGTGTTCATTGTTGATAAAAAATAAGAAAATATGTAATACCATTAGTATATATACATATATATTTATTTACAATAATAATTACAAAATACTTAATACAAACCAAATCTAAATATTTTTGAAAATGAAATATATTGGGAATTTACATCAAGAGAAGAAATATATTTTAATAGAAATCCAAACAGCCAAACAACCTGCAAAGAAAAAAAAAACAATTAAGAAAAATAACTGTTAATGTATTAATTTGCTCATAAAAACTAAAACCACAGAGAAAATACTTACAAACCAACATATACTTCTATATATATACATTCAATATTTAATTATAGTTTAATAATGTTGTGTGTATGCATTGTAACAAATTGCATATGGATGGAAGTAATGCAGTCAATAGATGCCTGAAAATAAAAGTTTCATATAATGGAAACAAATAATATACAAAAAAATTGTATTTAAAATTAAATAAGAGGAATATATAAGAGAAAATATGATATAATAAAAAATAAATATGATAAATGTATAAATCTTTAGGTGGTATAACAAATTAGAAGAAAATGCCATATTTTGGCAATAGGACAGTTTTTAATTTCCATGATGCAGAAATACGTTACTTGTCAAATTTTATACATGTGCAATTAAAAAAAAGGGAAAGTCGAATAAAAATTCAATAGAATATGAACATCCACCCTTTGCCGAACATCCACCCTTTGGAAGAAACTTTAAAATTCTCCAAAAACAAAAAAAAAGTTAAAAACTTTAAGTTCGGCCGGGCCTAACTTTTAATACCCTAAAGAAGACATTTTTATATGGGGGCCATACCAAAACGGGAACCTCTATAGACAATTTCATAATTCAAGGATTGCAATCTAGAACATTTTCTAAAATATATATAAATATATAAAGTAAATGTGACTGGGATTATCAAGATACCGAATATCGGTGAGTATCGTTATGTACGTGGACCTAAATATTCAATGTTCTGACACCGGAGCTAGAATCCATTATCAACTTCAAATACCAATTTTTAGACAAATCCGTGGAAAAATGTGGCAAAAATCATCAAAATAATTCCGCTTAAATTCATCAAAATACCGAATGTTGGGGATACCATTATATGTGGGCTTTACGACGATCTGCATACGCAGTTTTTTGCTATAGGCTGAAGTACTAATTACTAGTTTAAAATACGAAATTTTAAAAAATTCCGGTCTACATAATGTTGCTAGAATCACTAAAACACGAAATATTGGGAGGTACCGTTAAATGACTGATATATGAAACATGGACCGACAAGGCCCATTTACGAACTTAATGGGCTCGGCTACAATTTTGAACACATATGTATTTTATGTGTGCAAAATTGTAGCGTTCTATCCCAAGTCGTTCGAAAGATAAATGTGATACAACAGACAAACAGATCGACTTAGAATTTTACGCTGATCCAGGATATGTGTACTTTGTAGGGTCTAACATGAGAACTTCAAGAAGTTAAAAACGGAATTACCAATGACAATATACCCTCCATAGTAAGGTGTAGGGAATATAAATAGAAGTCATGTATATCGGCGTTGCGCATAGGAACCTTAATGGAGGGGACAAATAACCTAATTTTTCAAAATTTGTTGACATTTTTGGATTTCTTTCTTGAAGCGCTTGCTTGAGGTGATCGACACTTTGGTATTTTTTAGTGCCAACCTTGCTTTCCAAAATACTCCAGACACAATAGTCCAACGGATTGGTATCCGGAGATTTTTGTGGCCATTGTGTGCTGGATATGAAGCGAGGAACCTCATTTTGTAACCATTCATGGGTGGCGCTGAGTGCGATGCTGCTGTGTCCTGTTGGAATGTCCAAGGTCTGCACCAAAATTTTTGCCTGCCCAAGGCTTTGATACAATCTCCAGAATATTCTCGCGAAAATATTCGGCATTTATTCTGATGCCACGGTCGATTATTACGAGCGGAGAGCGACCATCTGCTGTTATGGCGGCCCACACCATCAGCATGGCCGGCGCTTGAGTTCTGGTGGCCAACCGAAGGTGCACATTTTCAGCTGACCTTTTTGTTTGTAAATCGTTGGACAACGAATGTTTTCTCATCGGAGAAAACCAAATTCGGCAGTTCACCACTTTCGGCCAAGCGAAGCAACTCTTTAGCGCTTTTGAGTCTATTTTCTTTCTGTTGCGGTGTAAGTTCTTGCACTGTATGGAATTTCAATAGCTTTACCCCGAGGTCATTTTTCAATATTTGCCGAATTGAATATTGCGATATGTTCAACTCGCGGGTTGCGATCAAGTAGCTTTTTTTGCTTGACGTCGGGCTACGCCACCAGTATCACGGTAACGAGCGATGGTAGGAGACACAAAAGATTTATTCACATTTAAATGCTGGAGTGAAATCACACTATCACGCCTGAATTCCATCATGAATAACTTTTTTTCCGGAAAATTCTCACCAAAATGCTTTTGTACGCTTGTAAACAATATAATGAGCTGTTACGAATAATTTTAACAGCTGTCGGACACGTAGAAATGACAGCAGTCTGAAGTTGGTTGCAGTTTTTCATCTCGGGTAATATTTAACGAGTTAAATGATAGGGTTCATTTAAAAAATCAAAATTTTCCATTTAACCGCGAATATTTTTAATAAAAATAAAAATCGTTCATTCGAGTCCGAAGGGCTTCCAATCTACTGAAACGCCACCGTTAAGTACTGTATTGTATATCATGGTCGTCCAGGCTGTAGCCTTTGTTTACTTGTTTAGTACTATTTTAAACTCTTTTTTGTACGATACAAGGTGTAAGTATATTTAAATTGACTGAAATTTCTCACGATCTCCTGGCACCGATCCAAAAAAATTTTTAATCTTCAACTCCTTCAGTTTATTAAATCACCAAAGGTTTATACCTATAAATTATAATAATCATAAGTGTAATAATAATAATTTTATGTTAATTATATACATACATCTATGTGTTTGTAATATTGTGTATAGTTTTAAGAAAAAAAAAAACAAAAATGCATTTTCGTCAGACGAATAAACCTAAATAAAATGTAGCTTTAAGTGTTAATCTTTTATTTTAAAAACAATAATAAAAATCTCAAAATTTTTTCTTAATTTATTTTATCCAAAAACAACTCAATATACTTCGAATATATATGTATAATTGTTTTATGAAACGTTAACTGCCAAATCGAAATAACAAAACTATCCTACAAATTAATTTTACTTATACTTCTACTATAAAAAAACTTTCCATTTTCAACTAACTCAAATTATTCTCTTATAAAACATTTCTACTCTATTTGGGTTTCATTAAAAAAAAAAAAAAACTACATTAAAATATATCCTCATCTTAAAATAACCACTATAATTTCAATTATTTTTATTTTCATAAGACAAAAATATATACAAAAATATAATATAGATTCAAGTGTTAAATTTGTTTTTAGAATCCAAAATTAAAATTCAAATTTTTTTTGTAATTTATATTACCTCAAAACAACTCAATGTACTTTGAATAACTTTTTAATATAATTTTCTGAAACATTAACTGCCAAATCAAATATCTATAAACTTTCTTACAAACTAATTTTACTTGTACTTCTACTAAAAAAACTTTCAACTTTAAAATAACTCAAATTATAAATTCTCTTAAGAAATATGTTTTGAAAATTAAATATTTATAAATGTTTATTTTACTTCATCAACATTTCTCAGTTATTTACAAAAAATTAAAATCTGTCATAAAACATTTCTATTGTATATGGGTTTCATTAAAAAGCGACATTAAAATATATCCTCACCTTTAAATAATAATTATAATTTCTATTGTTTTATTTTATTTAAATAAACATTTTCGCAATAATTTCATTCAGTCCTATGTGAAAAAGTGGTAAGTACAGTACATTGGCCGAATTGTTAAGTACAATATAGTAGTTTTTTGGTCCATCGCCAGTGAGGGGAAGAGATGAAATTTATTTTTTTATAATATTAATAAATAAAAAAATAAGTAAAAAAGCTATAAGTTCGGGCGGGCTGAACTTTGAGTACCCTCCACCATTTCGAATGAATTTTCAAAAAAAAAAAATCTGTTAAAAATTCTGTTAAAATCTGAAAGATAACAAATATAACCGTCATATTAGGGTCTAAACGATGACGCGGACCTGAATAGGCAACTTTTGTTATAAGTCACTATAATATTCAAATGTGGAATTTGAAAAAAAAAAAAAATAGGCGAATAATGTAGCTTAAATCATTAATATCGGGAGGTACTATTATATGGGGGCTATACCAAAATGTGGACCTGCACAGACAATTTCCTGTCTAAAGTGGTAGTATCCATTACTCACTTCTAATACCAAACTACATGGCTAATTTTCAATACCAAAAGTCCTGCAGGCATAATATACATTTGAGTAAAATTTTATCAATCTACTTCATTTCGTTCGGAAGCTAGAGTGGTTTCCACGGACGGATATCGCTAAATCGACATAGAATTTTATGCTGATCACGAATATATATACTTTGTGGGGTCTAAAATGTATATTTCGAGGTGTTACAAACGGAATGAGAAACTTAATATACCCTCCATACTAAGGTGGAGAATATAAAAAACACAATACCAGTAAGACCGTTGGGTTATGCAGTTAAACTTTTTAAAAACCTATAAGTCGGTGGAGCCTTTATAGGGGGGCCATACCCAAACGGGAACTTATATAGACAATTTTAGAATACAATGATTGTTATCTATTGCGAGTCTTAAATACAAAATGTGACCAGAATTATAAAAATACCTAATGTCGGTGGGTACTATTATATGTGCGCTATAGGAAAACGTGGGCCTAGATATTCCATGATCTGCCACTAGCTAGCGGAGCTAGAACCCATTACGAACTACAAATACCAATTTCTACAGTGGAAAAATGTGGCAAAAATCGTTAAAATACCGAATATCGGGAGGTAACAAGTTATATAGCGGTTAAACATGGACAATACAATGTTTAGCCACCAGAGCTAAAATCCATTGCGAACTACAAAGGCCAATTTTTCGACAAACCCGTAAAAAAATTGACTAAAACTATAAAAATATCGGGAGATTATATATACCGTTATATGGGGGCTATACGAAAACGTGGATCGTTATATATCAATTTCAATACAATATATTCTAGTAGGCTGTATCGTGATTTCAACAGACAGATAGACGGGTATCCTTAAATCGTACTTCCCCGTAAAAATCGTAGCCTCAGTTAAATTGTTGTATAGTTATACGCTACAACACTATGTGTTGGGGTAATATAAGTTTGATTGGGCCAAAAATTATGTAACACCTCGAAATATTGGTTTCCCACATAGGAAAGTATATATGGATCTTCCTATCTCGCCGAGCTGAGTC